CCTAAAACCTAGAAAAGATAATTCATGCAGAGATTGTGAATTTATGTTAATGAAAAAACTAGTTTACAGATCTTAAATGTAAGTGAAACATTCTTCCTTAATTTGTTATGTTTAAATTTAAATGTTTATTACTTTTAATAATTTTATTATACTTTTTCTAAATTAGCCTAGATTGAAATGCCCAAATTTGATTTTTGCTTTAAAACCCAATAAGAAGAGTAATGCCTTAAGTTCCAACAAAATAATAGTTGTTTTTGTCAACAATGAAAATGTTATTTATGATCCAACTGATTATGAAGATGAAGTTGAACCAACTAATTTTTTCAAAGTGAGATATTTGTTACCTTTTTATGTTCTAAGGTTTGGACCTTATAAGCTTTAGGTTGAGCCAATTTATATGATGAGCTTTTCAAGACTTAAAATATAATTTATTAGGGATCAAAAGAAAAAGGCAAAATAAAGAGTATGATAAGAACATTGTAACCCTTTTACATAAATCACTTGGCATTTAAGAAAGCATGTCAATAAACCAAAAGCCCCACAATAAAAAGACAAAGATCTTGCAACCAAAGATGCCCAATCCTAAGAACAAGGAAAACACCAAACCATGAAAATAACACTATTAGAAAATGTCTAAAATTTTGGATGGCAACTTTTTGAATTTTTAAATATGTTTTTATAGTATCTCGGTTATGTATATTCCTGCTTTTTTATTATGTAACTTTTGGTGTAAAACATATAACTTTTATTAGGCTATTTAATGAAAGTAGTGAATTGGAATTGAATTGCAATTATGAAATTTTATATTATTTTCTTTCAATGTAATGATAGATTTTATTGAAGTTTGGTTTGTTATATTTTTTCCTTATAATGATGGATTTTATAACTTCTTTAGGCGATGAATGTTGGATCTTAGAAGTCAGAATCATTTCTTTGTTTTTTTCTTTATTTTCTTTTATAAATTGTCTAGGAATGGAAATGAAATATTATCAATTTTTTTGAGTTTTTTCATTTTTTATTTAAGAGTGTGTAGTGAAATAAAAGAAATTTTGAAATGGTGAAAATGTAAAATTTATGATAGAATAGAAATGGCAATCATTTTAGAGGTCAAGGAATTTTTTTGTTATTATAGAAAGTTGGTCTTGTTTAAACAACTTACAAACCTTGATCAATTATTCAATCTTTGTGAAATAAAAACTTGTATTAAAAATTGTTCTCAACCAACACTTTTTTTCTTTTTTTTCAATTTTTGAAAAGTTGAAACTGAGAATAAACTTAGCAACACCTTATTATGAACAAATATATAATATCTAGAAATGTACTAACTATGCCAATAGAAAGCTAATTCACTAAAGGAAAAACAAAGTTCTTAATATAGAGATTTAGTTTCTTTGAAAGTAGTTCAACTTTCACCAAGTAGGATACAAAACATACTACAATTAGTTCATTGTAAATAGACTACAAACCTACAACATGATCAGATATCACAATGACAACATGCCTACAATCAACATTAACAAAGCAATCCAAGTCAATAACAACCAAAATTTTCAGCACCATATCACTTTTTTGTAAGATATAACTTGATCCTTGTATACGTTCTTTTTCACTTGCAACATTTTCATTTTAATCCTTAACTCCTTATTTTCAACAAGTAATTTTTTATTTTCAATTTTTAATTCTGATAACTAATTTGTAAGTTCAATCTCCAAGGTATAAGAGTCTTCTATTATTTTTACCCATTGGAAAAAAATCACATTCAAATCCTTACAACAAACATATATAACTCATTAAACTAAATCCAATTTTTCACCATCCTGAAACTACAATCAAATATTATTAACAAAATACCTTTATGAATTTTTCACACCCATAAAATTTTCTCTCTGAGTCCTTCGAAGTGATTAAGGTTTGGATTGGAACCCTCATTCCACAAAAACAATGTTTTGATCTTCCTAGTTAGTTTTTTGTTGGGAGTTAGATCCTAAATGGCTTGGGTACCAAATCAACATGGGTGATTCCTTAATTATAAACTTCTTCTTCTTTTTTTTTTTTATGATTTTTTTGGCATATTGTCACCTAAAATTTTAAACTCAAACACCCAAAATTCTAACCCAATAATTTGCTTAAATTTCAAGTCTTAAGTAACACCTAAGGGTGATAATGGTTCAAATCGAATTCGGTTTGATTTTTTGAATGATGTATAGTATATGGATTTTCAAAATACGATATGAATCCAAATCGATCTTCCCTTGAAACTAATCCAAATTAAAATTTGTCAATTCGATTTGATTTATTTGTTTTTTGAATTTTATTTTATTATTATTTTATATTATTTTAATATAATTTTTAATATATTTAATAAATTTAGATATAAAATAATTATATTATTATATAAAAATTTAAAATATATAAACTAATAAAAATATATAATACGGCTAGGTTCAATCACTTTTGATTTTTTTACTTTCCGATCCTAAATCTCATTTGAACTTGATAAAAATATTCAATATCTGAACTTAAACCAAACTAAATAAGAAAAAAAAAAAGATCCAATTTGAACTGAACATAATATTTTGAATCAATTTTCGATATTGTTGATTTTTTTCACCCTAGTAATGCTAAATACTATACCTAAATTCACTAACATCAAACATCTAAAACCACAACAACTCTTACAATAGCTCTTATAATTTAAGAAGGAAAACAAGGGTTTAGAAGAAGAGTCGATTAGGATTTGGCATTTTTATTTATGTTTTCAACTTTTTTTCTTTTAATTTTTTTGATTTAGGTAAAATTGAGTGTAGTATACCACCCTTCAATTATATTAAAATGTGCCATGCTAGGTTTTATTTTCGGTTGCCACTTAGGATATGGTATGATGGTTGCATTGTTGATGTCTTTTTTTAATTCATGTGTCAGTTTTTTATGAATAGTGTCTCAATCGGAGTTAATAGTGTTAGTACTAGTACAAAATTAATTAGCAGAAGTATTGTTTAAATACCATATTAAAGACTTTTAAATTCAAGTATTATATTGAATATTTGATTATAATTCAGGGTTATTCATAATATTAACTTATACAAATTTGTTTGTACAAGACTTTTTGTAAAAATGCACTAGTGTTGTTTTGTACATTGAGGGTAAAACATGGTTTATTTTATCTCCAAGTATGGCTATTATCTAATTTTGATAATGAAGATTAAATGTTTGTCATATCAATATGTATTTTGCGATTGAAAATCAAATTTGTACCGTGCTAGTGATTTCATAATAATGGTTTTTTATTTTTTTTCACTCAATCCAATTAAGTTAATTATGATTTTGTTTTAATTCGTACATATGCCACAAGATTTAAATGTAATATTTTACATGTTTAAGAGACTTGTGAAGATTATAATTTTGTTAAGTTTTATTATATGAGAATTTGATTTTAAAACAAATATGATCATGAATATATTATTACTCTTTACAATATTTAAAATTTGGCCTGAATATTTTTAAACATGTTTGATTCAATGGAAAAAAAATCGAGTACTTGTTAAATTTTGGTACTCATCGTTTAATTTTCTTTACTTTTGAGATTTTAATATTTACATTTTCATATGATAAGTTTTGGCAATGGGTTTTATTAGCAAGTTTAATATTTATCTTTTATTTGGTATAGCTTTTAAAGTGAATATTTTACTATTTATTTTTTAAAAAAATTAGTCGGTATGAATTTTTGTATAATTAAAAAATTTTTGCATCCTATCAATTCATACAATTAAAGAAATTCCATGCTGATTTTGATTGCAATATTCGGACAAATCACATTAAACATTAATAATGATTTGATAGCTAGTTGTGGGAATAAGGTCGGCAAGTGAGGTTAATTTCGATATTGACAATTTTTTTTTCTTTAATTCAATTGACGAGAAAAGGGGAGTAGCAGTCCAGGAATCGGGCTTGAATAAAGTAACGGTGTTCACGACTCAGGAGGCTATGATTGCAGCCATGGTCACTCACCTCCCACCACCTTAGGCTGAATGCTTGGGTTAGACTTCGTAAACCACAATGGGCTTTGTCCTAGCCCAAACTTTACAGCCTCCAAGCTCCAATCCTAAAATCTATCATGTTTCGATGTGGTAACAAGCTTTACCTATAACAATATTTAGATTTGTTCCTACAATGAAAGCTACAATTTAGTGCTCGCGCAATCTTGTTCAGATTTTCTTTGTCATATTTTGTATATTATTTTTTTTGAATATCCCTAAAATTATATGTTTATCATTTAAAACACATTTATAATTAATAAGTTAATTTTTTTATCGTGTTAAATTTTTTTTCTCTTTATAAAATAACATTAAAATTTTAAAATTATAAGAAACATTAATTTATAATGACACTCAAATTTAATTAGTCATTTAATAATTAATTATTAATATTAGGTGCTTCAAAATTCTATTTGTTATTGCATTAAAAGAAATTTCGTAAAAATCAATACAACAAATTTAGACGAAACGAGTAAATATTAACGTGTAATATTTATTGAATCTCATTATACTGTCTTTGGTAGCGTAACTAAATAAATTTCATATTTTAACCTGAACCAATGATTCAGTGCAAAATAAAAGTTTAATTTAGAAACGCAAGTGTCGGTAGGATTTGAATGTTAACATCCTTGTTTTCATGCTTCGCCTTTGTTCCCTTTTTTTTTTTTTTTTCTTTTTTTGCCAAATAACACATCATAGCTTGCATGCTTTTACTTCTTAAGTTTGGTTGTTCCTAAATAATAAGTACAATTTATCTATAATTTTTTTATTATAATTTTTCAATTATTCAATTATAATAAAAAAATGTAAGAATGTCATTTATAAATATAAATCTTATATAAAATTTTGATAAAACCTCACACAATTTTAAATTGTGATTTATTAATTGGAATGCAACGACTATAGATGATATACTTTTATAAATAACACCATCAGGAATTAAGAAAAATAATTTCATTCGCCACAAGTAAATAAATAACTCTTGCTTGGGTGCAAATGCAAACCAAAGAAAAGGTTGCAACAATGATAAAACAAACTCATCATCACAATGATTATTGCAAAGCCTCCTATCTTTTGTAATACACCAATAACAAATTTCTTGGCAATTCTGTTCAATTGCTATCAAAAACAACTATACACTATAAATCAGACATAAAAAAAGGGGGGGGAGGAAACAAATGAAGACCATATGTTTGTCCAGAGATAAACCACAAAATGGCTCTTCAACCAATTTCATTATGGTGTCATCTATCACTAATGGCCCTCTGCCTGAATGACTTTTCTTTCAACAAAGTTTGGACATAGTTTTAAAGATTTCATTTCCAACAAAGAGGCCAAATACCAACTTAACCTTGCAAAGGAACCAAACATGAAATATCAATCCACCGACCAAGATCAAACATCAATCATCACTTCCGAAGCCTGATGTGGGGGTACAGTCCCAAAACATGCTCTGGCATGAAGTCATGCCGTGTCAGAATTCCAACAATTGGAGGCCTCTGCATTTAGGACATGAATAATGAATAGTTAAAGACGAAATTACCTGCATAAATCTCTACAAATGTAAGAGATAAAACTGAGTAACTAGTTATAGGAGTTGGCACTCCAAATTCCTATGTTCCAAACTTTTTCATGTTAAAAACCTTTCATTCTTGCTAAACTGTATTCTTTGAAATACACGTGCATACATGCACATGATGGAGCACGAGATACTTACCCCCTGACTCTTAGGTACAACGCACATGTGCCGGAGACCAAGTTGACGGAAGAGAACTGCAGCTTTGGCAAGTGACATGGTTTCAACCACTGTGTACGGTGATGCATTGGTGATATGATGGAGATCAACATAGATGTCCATATCCTCCTCTTGAACATCTAGATCCTCTAATTTGATTCCCTTTCCTGACCCTGCCTTAGCAAAGTCAAATTCCGAAAATCTATGTAATACCTTATCTCCTGCAAGTACCCTATCCCTTGAAAAAATCTTTCCCTTGAGCAAAACAAGCAAATGAGACCTTAGAACAAGCCCACACAACTCTGGCGCATCTGAAAAGGGCGGTTCATCAATCACAGGGAACCCATTATGCCCCGTAGTTCTCAAAGCATGTAATATGTTTCCCACCTTTTCAACACCAGAAAAGGTGATCAAAGGACCAGAAACAACATCCCGAGCAACTATATGTTTCATGTAAGGTTCTGCATGAGCCTCCATGTACGGCAATCCTTTTAGTTTTACTATTTGGTCATAGACACCCTTGTTGAAAATATCACCCACGGTTTTTGAGATAAGGAGAACCAACATGACAAGCGGAAGCAACAATAAATCATTAGTGAGCTCAAGCAGTATAACACACAGGGAAACTGTCATTCTCATAGTGCCACCAAGAAAGGAAGCAGCCCCAAGGAGCGCAAAGAGACCAACATCAAGTTTAGAGATGGGTTCAAATAGTCTACCAACAAGGCGGCCATAGCAAGCTCCAGCCAATATGACAGGAATGAAGAGCCCAGAGGGGATAGCTATGCCATAAGTGATAATGCCAAGGCAGTAAACAGCAACAAAGAAGATTAAAAGAGAGGAGATATGAAATTCATTCACGGTACTGGTACTCAATAGGTTACGAATCGCATCATCATTAGTGTTTAGAAAGAGGGAGGCCAGGTCATTGTAACGACCTGACGGACACTGAAAGCTTTTGTAGTTGCCAGATACATCAGTGTTGGGGCAGCTTGCAGACACATCAGCAGGGCAGGGGATGCACGTAGCTAACCATGGCAACCCATAAGAACAGATTGATGTTAACAGGGAGATGGTAATAACAAGTAAGATCTTGATAGTAGCTCCTCTTCTGCAGAAACAGGAGAAAAACTAGGCTGTAGAATTTATCATCAAATGGAACACGGATAAAACTTGATTCACTAATAACTGATATTGCAGAAGTTTTATCAGTGTGATAATCAAATTAAAGCACATAGTGCAGGACCATCACATGAGGGAGAACAGACAGTTGCTTTTGGGGGAAAAAAAAAGATGAGAAGCAAAGCAGTGATAATTAGCGATAAAAGATTATTGACACTGTCATGTTACTAACAATAACAGTATTACTAACTAACTATACTTGAAAATACCGAAATCCATGATTGAATGTGGTACGTACTCATTGATGATGCTGTAGGTGCGAAGGACCTTATCCACAAGATAGTTATATAGGCTTCCAAAAATGCCTCCAATAATCCCTAGAAGTATCACAGCCAGTATATCTGGAGCACTATATGTAACTTTGGCTGCACTGACATCATACATAATCAGTCCTCCTTTCCCAAACAACCCACAAGTTCCAGTAGAGCATAATTGTATGAAAGCTCTCAAAACTATAGCAACTACTGCTGTTGTGAAAAAGGTTCTCCAAAGAAGAGCACTCCTCCACCTGTAGATAAGCAAAGGAAAATACACATCACAATAGAATATGTAAGTAATGTCCCTTCGGAAATGCAATGTATTCAACTAAACATCAAGAAATCAGGATGAAGTCATTAAATATTCAAGCAACATTTCAGTCATCATTGTAATTCACACACTTTCAAGTTTCCACCTCAACATACCATCTAATATGAGGCTTTCAAACAATTCTGAAAAAATTAGTACAATATTATGTTGCTTTACCTCATTTAGTAGATTTGAATAAATATAATTATTACAAATTTATTCAAGTCTTGCCATTTGAATAAATAAAACTAGAAAAGGTTACAGCCTGAATATCATGAAAAACAATTTCCCATTTTTCATTCCACATGTAAAAATCTACCGGCATTGAAGAGAGTCTGCAAGACAAAACAAGGAAAAAGGAAAAAGAAAAAAGGGAGTGGAGCAGTAACAAATAATACTCATTTTGTGGGAGAAATATAGGGGGTACCATGAAGCTGCCTCTTCAAGTGCAAAGAGGACACCACCAACTGGAGCACGAAAGGCAGCAGCTACACCAGCAGCAGCTCCACAAGTTATCAAGTCTCGCCTATCACGATCATTTTTGAAATATCTAAGCCATCTCCAAGTCAAATGGTATTTACGCGAACCTCCTTGCCCAATTAAAGAAGCTATGCAAGCACCTGTATGAACCATAGGCCCTTCTTTGCCAACGACAAATCCAGCAGATACACCAAGAACGGAACCAAAAATCTGCCAGATATGAAATAATAAAATAAAAATATATTCGCAACAAGACAGAAAACAGGCTCAATCAATAGACACAATATTGAAAGATGTATAACCTGCTTTCCCAGACTATGTTTACATGACTAGTGAAATTTTTTATATATAGTCTATAATGATATATGCAAAAAGGACAAACCATTACCAAGAGCGCAAAAGGCTAAAGATTACAGGTAAAAGAACCTTGTTAAATATTGGTTTATACTGCCAATGCCATTCACCTTTACAAAAAGAGTACTTGGAGCCAGTATTGAATGAGCATCCACACCATTGAGATAGGCTTTCACTTCAGGAATACCAGAACCTGCCGCTGCTGGAGCAATAAAAGCACAAAGAGCTGCAGCTGCCGCTGCCAGACCTAAATTGCAGCCAGCATATGCCGCAAAAGCCTTGTAATATCTGTACTGAATCATTATCATGTCAGAGTTATCACATGGAACTGTTAAGTAAATCCACTAAAAAGTCTAACTCTAGACCACATTAGAATTGATAATAAAACGATAAAACTAACGAGTAAGTTTTCAATAGGTTGATTAGACATGGGAGCATGAAAAAATATCACAAATACAGAACAATCTGAAACAGTTGTTAGACATTAAAGATTATATGCAATTATGCATTTGAACTCATGAAAAAGGTTACAGAAGAAAATAGCGGACATCCAAACTGAGCCTTTTCTTCTAAGTTCTGGCTGAATTCATTGTCTACTCATACTTCTTGACTGTTGCTCCAGCATTGACACTACTTCCAGCCAGTTCTACAAGCACCACAAGCATCACCACCACTACTGTAATGCCAGCTAAATCCATTCTCTACTCCAACTTCTTAACTGTAGTTGTGGCATTGACACTATGCCACATAATCCATCCAAGAAGTGGAAGCATTCAGTTTCAGATATCCTCTTAAACTCAGGTACATGTATTGTGGTTTTAACTTTCTGCATGTATGTGTGTATGTGTGTGTGTGTATATATATATATATATATATATATTGTGAAAGTTTCCTAATAAAAACCTTGTTAATTATAGAAGTGTTTTCTTTTTCCTTTTGGAATCTATTATAGGAGTATTTTCTAATTTGTCAACATAAACCCGAGAATGTCATACAAATACTCATCTAAGGTTGTATATGTTGTTTGCAAAAGGTGAAGTACCCTACATCTGTTAACCACTTCAACATGAACTATCAATGAAATTATGAAAAATCTTTGTAAATACCTTTTCTAAACTGTACCTTCAAGAAAACAATTTTTACAACCCCATCTTACTACCTTTCTAGCCACTAATCTCTCCTAATGACCAATCATTCCTCATGCCAACCAAGTTTAATCATCAGCAAGCTAAAACACTTTGATAGTGCTGTATTATTAGCTATATTGTCTGATATCTGATATATATTAAACAATGCACATGACATGCATGCCTTAATTAAGTTTATTAACTTGAAAAATTATTAATGAAGTCTACCCCATTAATTGTTCTTAGTGTTGTCTTGCAGGGTACACTACAACATTGAAGGAAACTTTCTTTGCTTTTTTCAGTGTTACTATAGATGAAGCTCCAATTAACTCTTCCACTGATAAGGGACCTGAAGATTTTCAAGATTTGGGTTCAGTTATGACAAACTGAAATCTCTTGAACCTTAATCCACCAACAACTAACAACATTAATCCATTGGTTTAACTATTAAAAATGGGAAAAAAATCATTATTGACTAACATCTAATTAGAGGTTTCTAGACCATCAGACTATGTTTACCACTAACAATAGTTACAGGATATAACTGCCGACAATGTGTCCCAGGCTCTTGGCATTGAGATGTGGAAGAGTATTATTGCTTTTGACACCTCAAGGAAGAGGAAGTGGCATTAAGTACAGCAGTTTCAGCGGTCAAACAGTAACAGGTTTTCAGCTTAGTGTAGCACTTTTCTGATATGTAAAAATATGAGGATTTCATTTTTGCATGTGTATGCAAGGCAGATGTATAAAAAATAACTAAAAATTGCAAAAGTAGAAGTTCTATAGTTGTTTTGGATCATTTTACTCATTTGTAGATATGAATCTGCCCAACAGAAAAAATGAAAAAACTCCAATTGTCCAAGTAGAAAGCACTTTGGGCTGTACATGAATCCCACTATTGGCATTCTCCATTCAGTGACATAAGCAGAACATAATTACAAGATAGCATCGGTAGTTCACATAATGGCTAAGGGAGTTCAGGCTTATAACTTTGAGAAATTTAAATGTTGCAGGCAATTGAATAGCTGGCTTACTTGTGCTTCAGCATGAGTTCTGTAGTCAGTAGCAGCTTGAACCCAGCAATATTCTCAACTGCTATATTGTTAAAGATGCCAACTAGTCCAGTGCCTAGCCCTATAATAAGTGCAAATACCCACTTAAGCAGAACATACTGAAATATTTGGATCTTCTTCCTTGACCGCCAATCCTGTTTGAATAAATCATTTTCTGCAATCCTGTTATGCACAAAGTTATGAGACAAAGGTTGGTATCTAAGACTAATTTCTCAACAACAATGCTAACATGACTATTCTATGTAAAAGTAAAATTATGCATTTTTTCTTCAAAAACAACTATTAGAAAACTGCTAAGTGTGGAGAAGTAGCAAACAAAACCAACACAGAAGCAGAAATAAAAGCATATTGAAGATGTATTGCAGATTGCAGGAAAGTATATATAAGAGAAAATTGAAAAAATTACAAAGACAGCAAGGCCGTTGTTGATTTTTTTTTCAGCGCTTGAGGCTACTAGGAATTGAATCCTGTCACTGCACAACTGTTGGCATAGTTGATTATTGATTACTAAGAGAATGACAACAAAGAAACTCAATGTGCGTATTAATTAGTTAACAAAGAAAAGAAAATGACAAATGAAATCATGGGATTAAGAGAAGATCAGAAAGGGAAAATGAGGAGTTATATGTATAGATAGAAAGGGAGAGAAGGGTGCAGTATTCCAGAAGGGTGCAGTATTCAAGGCTTACTCATAATCAAGGCTCTCGACGGGACAAACATTGGCACCCACAATAGCTATCTGCGATGTGGTGTTGCGTCTCTTGATCAAAAAAGGTTGACTGTATATCCTCTCAAAGACCTTCCCAGTATCGCTTTCAATATCATCATAATCATCATTCAATACTTGATTTTCTTGATCCATTACTCTTATTGTTTATATTATAATAAGAACAACTTCTCCTTATGTTATTGTCTATCTACCTGCACTCCAATGGTAAAATATCAATTCCAGAATTCAGTTTCAAAGCAAAAACAAGTGGGGAACTAGAATCACCAAAGCAAAATTTTCATTCTCAAATCGGAAATCTTACAGGAGTTATAAGCTCATATACAATACTAACATAGAAAAGAAACAGAACAAAACAAAAACAGATCGCTTCAGTGAATCCTGAGACAGAGAGCAGGGTTTAATTGAATTGTTGGTGGCAGACAAAAAGAGAGCAAGAGCTGCCAAATTTAAAGGAAAAATAAGAATAGAGACTGACCTATGTACCTGATATGCTTTTGATACGATTAAAAAGTAGCGAAATATTGAACCCTATTCAGATTCAGCCGTTTTTTTTTGTATTTGCAACTGCTGATTTTTATGTAGGGTAAGATCTTTGGTTGATAAAGGAACTAATGCTTTGTCCTTATCAAAAAAAAATTTAAATATGGGAAGAAACATAAGTTTATCAACTTTTTATGCATTATTATACGATTTTATATTTGATATATTTTTAATTATATAATAATTTTATACATTTATCATTAAATTATATAATTTTTAAAAAAATATTAATTTTTATATTTGTATTAATAACTTATAAAAATTTATATTTAATCATTCATAAAATAATATCATCAAATTTAAATTCTACCATCTAATTTACTAATACTTTACAAAATTTATGCACCAAAAATATGTCAATACTAAACTCTTTTTATATTCACTTTTGGAGATGGGAATATCTTCTAATAAAAAATTGAAGTGATCAACTGATTGACGGAAGAAGGGCAAAAAGCTTCTGGACTCTTACCAAACAGGAGAGGCAGAATTACAAAATAGAATAAAAAGATGAAAATAATTTGAGTTTGGTATGAGAACTTGAAGATATGATTTATTAGGCTGAAGAAAATTTGATAGAAGATTAATCAAATTCATCAAATAAGCAAAAGTGGCATTGAAGACAATATATATTTAGAAGAGACAAACTAATTTGATATCTAATTCTAGCAATACCATGAAGTATATAAAGAAAACAAAAATAAACTATTAATTGAGTAAATCAATTAATATAAATTAAATGAAAGAAATAAAAATCACAATAAGTCAATAAATAATCGACTACAATAATTATAAAAGTCCAAATAATTGATACACAAAGAATACGAAAAGTTAAACACATTATTTGTTTCAAAATGAAATTCAATTATACTTTTTTTTTTACAAAAGTTTATTTTCAAATCACTCATTTATTGAATTTATGAAGTTACATTGTTAACATCAAATCTGACCATGATGCTGTTGAATATAACTTGTTATGGTTGAAATCAACCATGATCTTACTTTAATGCTAGATTCTATCATGATCTCTTTGGATTTAGTTTGTTTTCACCAAATTCAACCACGAGGATACCTTAATAAGTATGAACATATCAAACTCGATCTTAAAATATTATATTTAAATATTTTTGTTTATGCAATAAAATATTTTTTAAAGATGAGACTATCTATCCAAACCCAAAAGTTCATCCAAGTTTTGAAAAGGATTCAAATAAAAAATTAAAAGGTTCATTAAACGAAATTAGATACAATTTTAGGTTTGTTTAAATTTCAAGCTTAACATTGAATAAAAAATTTAAAATTTGAGCTTGATCCGATCTAAATTCATATATATATATAAATAAATAATTTATATATATATATATCAATTATATATAAATTAATTCACATATATATATAAAAATTAAAAATAAAAATTATATATATTTTATTAAACTTAATTTTTATTTTTAATTTATATATATATGTGAGTTAAATATAATCTCATCAAACTTAATTTATACTTAATTTAATTATATTTTTTTAATTTTTTATTATATAAATTAAGTTTAATGAATGTATTTGAAACTTATTTTTTAATTTAAATTAAATTTAAAATATTTTTAAGGCTTGAAATTTTAGATCAAACTAAATTTAAATAAATACATAAACTATTAATACAAAAAATGAGTTCGAATTCGATCTTGTCCGGTCCAGTCTATGAACACTTTCACTATGCGATGATTTCATCATTGGCGACAGACAAACACAAGTTTTACATTTCTTTTATGGGCTGACTTGAAAATTCAATTAAAATTAAGGATAAAATATTTTTAAAAAAATTGATGTGGCGTTTTGTTTAAAGACTTTTTGATTTTGATAAGGAAAGTAATTTCATAAAAAGTTATATCGAAGGGAAATATATGATTTTTTGGTTTTTTTAGTTTTATAAAATGTAAATTTTGTGTTTAGTTGGAGAAATGTAAGATCACATAATAAATTTTTTTAATATATTATATTTGATGATACGTGAATAATATGTGATATTTATAATACGTGATATAAGAATAATATAAAAAATAAATAAGTAATTTATTTAAAATTTTATTTATTTAACATATAAATTGTTCATTTAATATTTTTGTTAAATTATTTAAATAAAAGTATTTTAAGTTTTATTGCACATATAATATATATGTAATAATAAGAATTTATTATAATATAATTTTTTATTTTCAACAAAAATCACATTTTTTATTTTAAAAACATTATCTTCATTGAAATTTAAAAATTCTAAAAAAATAATTTTTTTCATATTTTTAATAAAAATTGTAATTTTTATCTTAAAAACATCATATTTATTGAATTATGAAAAAATAAATTTTTTATTTTTTTAATAAAGACTATTTTTATCCTAAAATGTCATTTTTTTTTAATTTTAAAAATAATTTTTTAATATTTTTAACAAATATAGCATTTTTATCTTAAAAATGTCATTTTTGTTAAATTTTAAAAATTAAAATTTTTTCATATTTTCAATAAAAATTACATTTTTATCTTCAAAATGTCATATTTGTTAAATTCTAAAAAATAATTTTTTTTCATATTTTCAATAAAGACAGCATTTTGAGCTTAAAAGCATCATTTTTATTGAATTTTGAATATTAAATAAAAGTAATATATAAAATTACTATATTTTTAAAATAAATAATATTATTTATATAGTATAAAAATGCAATTGAAAGCAAGAGGGGTAAAATTTTTACTTTTCTTCTAAAATTAAAAGAAAAAAAAACAAAAAAGAAGAAACATGTTTTTTATTTTCTTATTTTTTCTTTTAATACTGTTGAAATTATAAGATTTCTGTCATAAAAGAAAGTTTTCGAACCAAAACACATATTCAAATAACAAAAAATTAAATTCAAGAGAGAAAGTTGGAACCTGTGAACTAAACGTCCATTAAGATAAAAAGTACGTTCGGTTTTTTAATAATTTTAAAATTCATTAGTACCTTTAAATAATTATTTATTTTAATTGTAATTGACATTAATAATTTGTTATCAACCGGCCTTATTTGAAATTCGCCCAAATGGAAAAGTAGGGACTACACGGCCAGCTGGCTACACGGAGGCACATTTATGTTGACTGGCTTAGTCAACTTTTGAAAAGTAATAATTTATATGCGTTATAACAAAAATATAATTTTTTACATACACGTCACTATTATTAATTAAAAAGTTAAAAAAAAGAAAAAAAATAAATTACTAAAAAAATGAAATGAAAGAAATGAAAATTCATAAATTATTTTTCTATTATTCATTTCACCTCATTTTCTTTATATTTTTATGTCTCAAAATTATATTATCTTTTTTTAACATCTAAAACCCTTATGTTTTATATTTTAAATTTTTTTATGATTTTTTATTTTTTGACATTAAAAATCATGGCACTTTTAATTTTATAAAAGAATTTTAAAATTTAATATTAAATGCATTGAAGTCAAAATTTTTTTAAACTCCATGAAAAATTAGTAATACCTAAATAATTTAAAACGAATGGATTATAAAATAAGATGTTAGGATTGAAATATGTGACGAGAATTATTAATAAGTTATGCAACCGAATTTTCAATAGGATGCTCAAGAATTTGAGGTTTTACTTGTAGATTGAATTTTGAAAAATAAAATATGGAATTTATGGGATAAGACAAAGTTAACTCTCACCTTGATCATAGATCTTATGTACTAAGATTAATTTAGTTGGTAAGGTAGGGAATTCCTTTTCTTGTTAATCTACGTTTAATCTTTGTGAAGAAAATTAGTGTTTGGTATAATTATAAGATTATCATGATGATTTAATTATTATGATGATAAAATCACTCAAATGATTTGATCACTAGTGATATCAAATTATCATTTTAATATAATATTATAAAAGCATTAATAATATATAAATCACTGTGTTTGATATTGCATGAAAATAAATCATCAAATACAAAATATTTAAAATAACCTTATAAAAAGAAAGTAAAAAAAATTAATATTTATTGGATGAACATTTTATAAAATAATAATACGTTTTTTATGGAAAATTACAAAATATTAACAAATTTTGATAAAAATAATTTTTCAAAAATTATTAAATAAATTCATTAAATTTTTTATGAATAAATACTTCTTAATAAGTATTTTTTTTTTTACAAATTAATAAAATCTAAACCATATATACGGAAATCATGGCTTTATGTTATAATTTCAATACTATACAAGGACTCATAATATTTTGATAATCTTAACCATCTATATTGAACACGTAAATCATATTAAGTAGAGGTTGGAGGTAATGATTAATTTTTTCCACCAAGAAAGTTTATTTATAAAGATAATTTAGATGGAATCATGTGTTTTTTTTTTTTTTGTTATCATTAGGGTAAGTTAGTTAAAAATTAATATTGAAAATTATTTTTCTATAATAATAAAACTTTTTTTTTGGATGAAAATCAAATCACTTCTGGAGGGAGTCATATAATCACCACAGTGATTTAAAATTACTATCACTTAAGATTTTTAAATTTACATCAAATAAAGTGATTTAATTACTGAATATAGATTATTGTGATAGACATATTACCCCAAACAAATATTCCCTATAAAATCTTAAATATATCATATTGATGTGAAAAATGTATATTAAAAACTTATATCAAATTTCAGCATACTATGATCGTATTAAAAAAAATCATATATACAAAAAAAAAAAGTCTAGCTATAAAAAATAAATGGTTATGAATATGCAGCTCTTTTATAAGTAAAAATTTGGAATAAATACTAATGAATTTAATTATTTATTACTTCTGAATATTTTGATTTTTGGATTGTTTGAAAAAAAAAACTTTTATTCATGTTTAATTGATATAAGTAGCTATATTATTTATATATATATATATGTATGTGTGTATGGGCTTAATTTTTTAATTTGAATGAATTTTAATTTTTAAAATATTTATGCTTTTTTTAATATATATTTTAATATATTATTTGCTAATGTTAATACATCGTAAAATCATTCACAATATTTATATATTAATAATTAATATTAATTAAACATTAATTATATTATTGTTGATATAATCAATTAAATCTCC